CACACACACACACACACACACACACACACACATACACACAAGGAATGATGGCAGATGTCTGTAACTACAGCACCTTAAGACAGGAGGATCACTGCAAGTTTGTGAGTTTGAGGCCAGCCTGACTACACAGTGAGTTCGAAGCCACCCTAAAAGGAAAGCAAACTGTAGCTTAAAGCAAGGCAGATACCAATACCAGAGTAGATATTAATACAGAATGTTTTTGCTATTTATATCAGTATTTTAATTGATGGGTATAATATGCTACTACATGGTCTTAACAAAATCTGTAGAAGTACAAAATATTGGGGCCGGGGAGATGGCTCAGTAGGATAAGTGCTTGACTGGCAAATGCAAGGATCTGAGTTCAATCCCCAGTTCTGCAAAAAAAAAAAAAAAAAAAAGAAGTACAAAATATTAAGAGAGAAAAATCAACAAAACCTGAAATGGAATCTCTGAAAAGACCAATACTTTGCCTGTATTGTTGCAGTTACACTAACAAAAAGCACAGAAGGTAAGTTGTTAAAAACAGAGCTAAAAAAGGCATTTGTAGTTACTTCACAAAAATAAAGACAATTGCAAGGCTGGGGAGATGGCTCAGTAGAATAAGCTCTTCCCTGGCAAGCACAAGGGCCTGAGTTCAATTCCCTGTTTGGCAAAGCCAAACAGAAGAGAAAATCCTCACAAGTTCTATACCCCAACTATTACGCTTTTTTCAAAACCAAACACCTCTAGAAAACTACCAGAGTATATGCAAAATTATTTAATAAAGTACTAACAAACTAAATTCTGTAACACAATAAATGTAAAATTGATTTAGTGGTAAAAAGAAAACATCAATTAAAATAATACAGTGCACTATATTAACTTTTATGAAAGAATTCTTCACTCACACTAGGTACATGTAGGTAGCATTCAAATTTCCTTAAACATTTAAAAAATAGTACAAAAACAATGCAAATAAAAAAGCAAATCAATGGGTCACAACTGTGGATATGTTCCAAGCTAAATGAAGCTACAGAAAAGTGTGAGCACTCTAAGTGGCTCCTGCAGTAGAGAAAGATAAATGTAAGAGCCATCACTGATTCAAACAATACTAATATAATATAGACAGTAAGTAGATTGTGCAAAAGTAAATCAGTGTTAAGTTTATCAAAATTGAAAACTGATTCCGTAAGAGCACATACCTATTCTTAGGATACAGACACTGACAATTTTGCAAGGAATATAATATAGTACATCTAATCTATATATGGAGAGAACAAGAAAATAGATAAAATGTTAGTGGTAATGTCTGTTGATGGTAAATCTGGGTGAAAAAAATCATGCTTAAAATTATAAAAAAATGTATGAAATGCCAAAATATGCATAACTTATGGAAATCTGTATTTTTTACTCTTTTTATAAGACTAGTATGACAGACACTATCATATGAAGATACAGGTTTCAGTTTTTTAAATTCTTTTAAGGACAATGAACAAGCCTATGTTATAATTTAAAATAGATTATTAATTCTGCTAAAGAATAAAATACAAAATACAATTTTATTTTAGTAACACAGTTTTATGATAGTACCGCATTACTGTATATCCACTCAATCATATGGGTATTTGTTTTTTGTGCATATGGGGAATTTTTATTGCTTTTTTGTTTCTGAAAGCAAAGAGACTATATACAGGCTTAGTATCCCTTATCCTAAATGCCTGCAATCAGAAGTGTTTCAGATTTTTTTTGGATTTGGGTGTATTTGAATATACAAAGTGATGCCCTTGTGGCCAAACTTAAGCAAGAAATTCATTTATATGCACCTTACATATTCTGAAGGTAATCTGGGGTAAGATTTCCATTTTGTATGTGAAATAGTTTCTTTTTTTTTTTTTTTTGGGCGGAACTGGGGATTGAACTCAGATCCTTGCGTTTGCCAGTCAAGTGCTTATCCTACTGAGCCATCTCCCTGGCCCCAAACAAAGCTTCAACAAGAGGAATTTCCCACTTGTGGCCTCAGGTTACCATTCCACAAGCAGAGGTATAGCTCAGTGGTAGAGCATCTGACTGCAGAATGTTTGGATTTTGGAGCATTTCTGATTTTCAAATTAGGAATGTTTAATCTAAACTTTGTTTGCCACATTCTACATACAACTTCAAAATTTCTCTTCCCATTCTCTCAACTGCACCTACTATGTATTCCCTATGTTTACCAAATACCCTAATTTCTAAGTAAAATAAAATACTGCACGGCATAAACAGTATTACTGACATGTACAGGAGCTCCTCTTCTGAGTAAGTGTGGCACAGTGCTGGGTATACAACACAAACAACTTCACTGATACATAGTTACTGTACTTACGATTATAATACCAATTTTGGATTCTTAGTTCCTCTTCTAAAATGAGAACTTTATTGTGTTTCTAAGAACCTAATGTTCTACTAGTCACTCTGACTTTATTCATTAGCAATGAGACATTACAGGATATTCTAATTCCAAAACAGTGCACTCATTCATACCCCTATCTCCATGCCTTTCCACTTACTGTTTGCAACGTGAAATGAATGTCCTTCTCTAACTCATACTCTCTTGCTTAACTCATACTCTTGCCTAAAACTGCTGCTATCTATTACCCTCTAGAATTAATGCAAGTGTTTCCTGCCTTCATACAACTGGTTTTGGACATAATTCTACTTCTTTCTGCATTTAATAGCTCTCTGATGAGTCATGTAGAACCACCTTTTCTACTAAACCACTAGTTCCTTGATGGCACTCCAAAGTTTAGCATCGGACTTAACTTGCTAAATGCTTAATGTGCGCTTGGTCAACTACTGTCCTGAGTGGTATCACATTAACTCACGTAATCCTTGTTAAATTGGAATTAATGAACCCATTTTAAAGATGAACAAAAAAGGTGAACACTCAATTTTGATCAGGACAAGTACTAGTGTTTCACTTTAGCCTACTAAGTCATACCCTTGTTATCTGTAACTACAGGTCGTGTCTACTATCCAGCGTCTCAACATGAACCACATCACTATTAAGATACCAATATTAAGAAACTTGTCAAGATTCTCATTTCTCTGGCTCCACATTAACAAATTTAAATCTTGTCCGCTCTTTCCTAATCCACTTATGTCCGTTCTTTTCTGAGGCAGATAAACTCCCACAAATTATCTGGAAAACATAGAAAAAAATTCAATTTTTTCAACAAACTGATTTTCAGGAGATACCAAGCAGCATAAGAGACTGAATTTTGGCCACAGAATGCTGATAAAAGATACTTAAATTGAAGGTTATCTAATCTTGCGGGGGGTCTCAAGTCTCACACGTAAAGAGGAGCTATATCGAGTCCTTGCGAGACTGAGATGAGTTGCAAACCATGAGGTACAGTGTCCAGCAGAAAAGCCTCATCAAGGATTGCTGTTCAAATATCGAGCAGCTCCTCCTGACTGAATGAACAAAGATTTTGTTTCCTCGGCACTCAAAAACCTTCCGTCTCCTTGCACCTCCCACCTCCTGGCAGATACTTTTCATTATTTTAATACCCAGTTTTTTCAACTTTTGCAAAAAGATCTGCAACGGAACCCCCTGTTCAACAGAGAACTTTTGGCCCTGCTTTCAAACTCCAGAATTTTTACCTGCCTTTCAGGATGCAACTCAATCAAAGCTCATCTCCTCTAGAGCCCGTCCATCCCCAGGCGAAGCTCCCTTTGCACCGTCCGTAGCACGGGCGCTGCGCCGCCCGATCTCCCCCGCTAGGCAGCTGAGGCAGCTTAAGTTCAGTTTCGGGGGCCTGGTAGATCCTAGGAGTCTGAGAGCGGGGAAGCATCCCCCTACACGAAGCAAACACGCACCCCGGAACAGTCACCGCGCCGCAGCTACACAAAAGTTAAGCGTTACCGCGACGCCGTCCCTCCGCAGCAGGGCAGGTGCGGGACGCACGTCCGGGGACAGGGGCGTGCTGAGGTACGGAAGGGGACGTGGCGGCGCCCGCTCTTACCTCCACCTCCTCTTCGGTGTCCTCCTCCTCTTCCTCCCCAGCGGAGCAGTAGGCCTCCCAGGGGTGACGCGGGGGCATCCGGGGCGTCACCTCCTCCTTCCCTCCGCACCGGGCGGCGGGGCGCGCAGAGGACCGGACCGGCCAAAGAGGGAGAAGGGGAGCCGAGCCGGGGTCGCGGGGCGCAGCGGGACGCAAGGCTCTGGCCGGGGTCGTCAGCGAGTCAGTTCCCTGACGACCCCGGGCCTGAGCCCGCCGCCGCCGCCGCCGGAGCCCCGGGGAGGGGGCTCCCTCTCGCCATAGGGTGGCGGGGGCAGGGGAGAGGCGGGGGTGGAGACCGGCTCGGCCCCAGCCCGGGGGAAGAGCCTTCGAGGAGAAATGGTGAAAGGGGGGGGAGGGGAAAAGAAAAGAAAAGAAAAGGAGGAGGGGAAAGGGGAAAAAAATAAGACACAGCGACAGCGCGCTCCGCCGCGTCTGCCGCGAGAAGGCTGGGGAGGGAAGGAGGTCCGTCCAGTGGCCCCGCCCTCGCGCACCGATCCGGCTGCTTGACTCCGTAAACAACGCGGTCGCCACGCTCCCGCCCCCTTTCCCTCTCCGCCGCCTTCCCGGGCCTGCAAACGTAAGAAGACGTCGTTGGACTGACCAGGAAGACCGGGGAGGTCCTAGACACTAAGGAGGAAGCGAGGAGGATGCCGTCCTTGGGCGAAAACAGAACAAAGTTGCGTGAACTCGTTTTTAGGGGAGGCGGAAGGATCATGCTTGCCGCACGATGACGTCATCTCGGCCGTCTGAAGAGGCGTGTTGGGGCCGGAGAGTGCGCTGCGCATGCGCTCCGGGGAAGAAAGCCGCGGAGCAAGCGGGTCTAGGGGTGGGGACTCGGTGGGGTGCTAATTACTAATCCTGGGCGGTTGGCTTCTTGCGGCCTTCGTAGCTGGTAGAAGGACTTACTCGAGACGAGGCAGACGGTCTGTTGTATAAAGATCTTGCCTCCTTTATTGATCGTGCAGATAATTACGTGTTTCCATACCGTTCATGCGTGACTGGATTGGTAGGTTCCGGGAACCTCGGGTGGCGGGGCGGGAAAGCCGCGGTCGCATCCTCGAAGGCTGGGGGCTTGGCGAGGGTTTTATTATTAAGGCTGTAATGCGTGTGTGACAACATAAACGTGTCTTATCTAGAGTTCTTGTGCCACAAATGGAAATTTTTGCTTATCTTTCTAATTCCATTAAAAAGTATATGTAGTGTTACAAAAAGCTGTGGAAAGGGGGAAAAACCTTAAACATTTATAGTAGTGTAGTTTGTGTTTTCCATTTTTGTCTTCTATATGTCTATTTTAATAGTCACTGACTAAAATAAGTACCGTGTGGCCCTTATTCAGCGGCCAGACTGGGAAACTCAAAATAACCAAGACTGAAATAGCTTCTGCCTCGAAGTTTATCTCAATTACCCAACGCATTGATTTGTTTACTTGTGCATGTGCGCCCTCTCTAGCATATAGGCTCACAGGTGGTGGGGATCTTTACTCTGCATATAAAAGCTCTCAGTATTTGATTACTGACTGAATAAACAATAACCTGTATTAGAAGTATTAAGATTGAAAACTGCAGGCCTTTATGGAAACACCCCTAGATTAGTTTGGTTTATCAGAGAAGGCTTCTCTGAAGAAGTGAGTGATGTTTAGGATGAAACCTGAAACCACAGAGTAAAGAAGTGGGCAAAGAGTAAGACAGTACTGGCAGATGACATAACGGTGTGTAGAGCACTGAAACAGACATTCTAAAAACCACCGGAATCCAGTGTGATTGGTCATTTGAGAACTGAGGGAGTTGAGGCTAGAAAGGAAGATGGAGGATAGATTGCATTGGACAGTAGGGAGTAGAAAGCCCCTTGAGAGACCCTGGAAAGATTTCAAGTAGGTCACAATTGTATCCTGCTGCTTTCACTTAATGCAGCCTTTTTTGTAGTCTTAACTTTATCTAGTCAACACTTTTATGATAATACTCTCAGGAGGGTGGCACTTACAGTACTGACAATGCAGCATAATTTCATTGTCAGCATGAAATAGGACTGACAGTATAGCTCATCAATGCTCGTGCGTAGAATGCACAAGAGAGCGTGTTTGATCCTCCAGCAGCACATGTGCCACACACGCTAATACAGTTCTACTCATAAGTATATACTTAGAAGAAATGAAAATACCTGTACATGCAAATTTTATATGCAGTAGCATTAGGACCATTCACCAAATGCAAAACAACCCAAATACTCATCACTGTGCTTTGAATATGGTTTGTCCTTTTTTTTTTTTTTTTGCGGAACCTGGGATTGAACTCAGACCCTTGCGCTTGCCAGGGAAGTGCTTATTCCACTGAGCCATCTCCCCGGCCCCAGGAATTAGTTCTTGAAAGAGCAAGTTGTCCCAGAGATAGTTGTTTCTTAGTTGACTTTCTCCTTTTGCCAGGTAATCTATTCCACTTTTCCACAGGCACCCAAGTTCTCTCCCCCCATCAGACCTTCCTTGGAAGCCAAGCAGATGTCAGCACCATGTCTTCGACTTCCAGAATCGTAAGCCAAAGTAAACATCCTTGCTCTTTCCACAAATCACCCAATTCCAGCTATTTTGTTATAACAGAAAAGTAGGACATGTATCAGCCAATGATTGTGTAAATCATATTTATTCAATGAAATGTTACTTAGCCGTGAAAAGAAAGTACTGATACTCTACCGCATGGATGACCTTTGATGGCATGCCAAAAGAAAGAAACCCAGTGAGACAGGCATTGTGGTGCATGCCTGTGAGCCTGGCACTTAGGAGACTGAGACAGAAGAGTCACTTCTGTTGGGAGTCCTCTGAAGCTGAAACTGATCATATGTGGGAGGGCAAGATGAGGCTTAATTGCCTAAAGCAGTCAAGCTACCTCAGTCTTGAGAAAAACATCCTGCCTGGACATTAGTTGCTAGGCAACCTTGTATTTTGTAACTTTTCAAAGATATAAATAAAAGCTCTGTTATAGTTTGTGTATAGGTGTCCCCCCCCCCAAAGCCTCATGCAGTCTTGGGGCAGCTTCTGGAGTTTGTGATTGATTACTGTGGGTGTGGATTCTTCACCTGCCCTGGGGCAGGTAATTTGCATTACAATGTAACGTGGGAAGAGTAACCAGCTGCTAAAGCTACTGCTACTCCTCCCTTGAGCTCTTGCTCTTTGCCACCACCATGAAAGGTTGTTTTCTGCTATGTGTTGCTCTGCGTTGAACCCAGCTGAGTATGGACTGAAACCTCCAGTAACTGTGAGCTAAATAAACCTTTCCTTTCTTCATTTTGAGTGTCGGGTATTTGTCCCAGCAATGAGAGAAGAGTAACTAAGACAAGCTCCTACTGTTGTTCTGGAGTTCTTTGCCAATCAGGAATAGTCTACCAACTGACATCAGCTATTACCTGTCTTTATTTTCTAAATCCTCTCAGGGTTTTCTCCCAGGGACCACCAAGAGACCAACAAATTCCTACATTTAGTACCTGCCACAGGGACCCCCAGGTAAGATTTTGATAGGTGGAAGGACATTGTTCAAAATTTTCCAACAACAGGGTGGAGGAATGGATTGGTGGGTCAACATTTAGCACTGGAGTGTTATACTGACAATCAGGTGAAAATATGGGGCATGGAACTCTACTGACCTTTATTTAGTTATTTATTCATTTATTTTGCAGTACCAGGGATTGAACTCAGGACCTTGCACTTGCCAGGCAAGCACTTACTCTACTGAACTATCTGCCAAGCCCCTGACC